TTAAATATCTTAAAATACAGACACTGTCCCACTTGTGCATTTCCATAAAATCGTCATGCTAGTCCAATATAATGCACGTTTGTCATATTGCACGTACCATTATCATTCGGCAAAGTTCAACAGACTCCGGTACCCTACATCTAACCCCAACGGTATGACGGTAAGTGATATATAGCTACACCCATAAAACTGTGATGCGGCTACCGGTTTATTTATTAGGAAAACTTGCCGCGTTTAGAAAATAGTTCTCAAAATGGCGTCGTTCGAAGAGTGTTTAGAGTTTTCGTTGCAAAGTTCTCCTTTGTTTAAATAAAATCGGATAAACTTGAAAGAAAAACAACTTCAGACATTGAAAGCTTTGTATGATGTATACAGTTTCTTGAGATAGAACACTCTTCACAGGCGTCTTCATAAGCACCGCCATTTTTAATACGGGAACTTGAAAGTTGTTCCAATGGCGGAATTCGTCACACAGCCGAGGTTAGATGTACGCTACCGAAGTCACCGAGTTATACCGAATGGTAGCCTACCATTACTTGATATAATGCTACGCCAAAATGAAAGGATGTATTTCAACAACAGATATCAACCGACAATTTAATTACTTGTTTTCTTCATTCCTCCCTGTCAAAGACAAGTCAATCCTATTTCGTTTCGTTTTTTATAGTTCAAAATTTCGCTTTACTTCTCTTTACTAGACTGGGATCTGGAAGAGTTGATATATAACCCACATTCTGGTTGATGTAAATGATTTGCCAATGAAGCGGTCTGTTGTGCACGGAACTGTGAGAGACATTCGCGGCGAAGGCAAAACAAAAGTTTTATTTCCAAATACCCACTTGAAACATCGAGGCCGATTTGTTCATCAAATGGCCCAAAGCCGCCAGTTTTCATGCGGTGGAGGCCAGCGAAAGTATAAAAGAAACGAAACGAAATATAGATGTGTATATTTATTCAGATTGATGACATGTTTAACTCCCATTACTGCTGTAACCTATCTCATTAACCTGCATTATAGGGGATCACGTGGCTAAGTGGGTAAGACGCTAGCTCGCTAGCCTGGAGGTCGGGTGTTCGATCCCTGCATTGGCCGAGAAAGTTCATCCAGATTTTCCGGCGTGGTTCTCCCTTGTCAGTGATGCAGGACGGAGGGGCTGACAAGGAAAGCTGTCTAGTCGTTCGGATGGGACGAAAAACCGAGGTCCCGTGTACACATTGGCGTGCACGTAAAAGATCCCTTGGCAGTTGGAATTCGATATAAGAGTAGGCCGTAGTGCCGCTGTCCGGGCAAAATTTCCCTCATAGCACACTGTATGGCGTATGCCCGTCTTCATTAGCCCAGGTTAGGAGCAGAACAGTAGAACGTTAAACCCCATTTCATTTCATTTCATTTCTTTCCACTAGTCGTATAATATCCTATACATATTTTTTTAAAACTAGTATAATATCAAATCAAACCCATCAATTTTGTTTTGACCCAAAGCGAGGAGTCCTTGTCATTTGCAACATGCTTTTGGGTGCGTGTGTGCGGGTGTGTGTGGGTGTGTGTGTGTGTGTGTGTGTGGGGGGGGGGGGTCACGGTGGCTAAGTGGTTAAGATAAAACGCTGGCTCGCTAGCCTGGAGGTCGAGTGTTCGATCCCTGCATTGGCCGAGAAAAAATTCATCCTGATGTTCCGGCGTGGTTCCCCTTTGTCAGTGATGCAGGACGGGGAGCATGACAAGGACAGCTGTCTAGTCCTTCGGGTGGGACGAAAAACCGAGGCCCTGTGTACAGATGGGCGTGCACGTAAAAGATGTGTTCGATTTAACAGTAGTGCCGCTATCCGGGCAAAATTTCCCTCATAGCACACTGTATGACATGCCCGCCTTCATTAGCCCAGTTCGGGGGAGAACATGCTTTAGAGATACATGTACATTATGTAAGATATGGGTAAAGAGATGGCCCTTGTTTCTATAATAAGGCAACAATATCTTAATGCACTGGTAAACTGATACTGTTGGCTAATGAATCTAGGCCTCTAAGTAATCATAGTTTTTGTCATTAAATCATATAAGTGGTCAGTATTCTAAACTAATGTTTAGTATGTATAGAAAGTGGTTAGAAATTATACAGTTGTCATTAATTCATTAATTTAGCAGGTTTGCAACTAACTGTAAATCTGTGAGTTAGTTGTATTTTACGTCCGCTTCCACCGAGGTGATATCGCAGACAAACTGTAAATGTGTGTGAAATAGCTGTATTTTACGTTCGCTTCCACCGAGGTGATATCGCAGACAAACTGTAAATGTGTGAGTTAGTTGTATTTTACGCCCGCTTCCACCGAGGTGATATCGCAGACAAAACACAAACTTTAAAGTAGTAGTTAGTTGTATTTTACGTCCGCTTCCACCGTGGTGATATCGCAGACAAGCAAACTTTAAAAGATGACACTACTATTTATAACATCAATCACTATTGAATACACAAACCTGGACAATAGAGGTGTATATCATTCAATAGTCACAATTTTAACACCTTAGTGACAAAACACCTACTTAATGACTACCGTTGGATTACTACCAATTTTAATGAACAAATAAACATTATGTATATAAACTGATGACTTTGATCTATTAGTGTCGTATATTTTCATTTATAACAAGTATTTGTTGTTTATGCTAGGTACCCACTGTCGTACGATGCGTTACGATACGAGTGCCTCTACCGAGTCTACGCTCTGCTACATGCAGATACGTTGGTATACGCTTCGATACGATCAACACGATTGACATTTATTAACTTGAAAAGACCATAAACAACTCTCGATGCCATCTTATCTGTCCGAATTTCAATGAATTTGAATCCGATCAGTTTTTGATGATTAAATGCAAAAATGGACGATCGAGGCCTTAAAGATTTTAAAATAAGATTTTCTCGAGTTAGATTGAAGCAATTAGACTGAAGTTTTCATCATATTCCCTTTACATCATATAGTTTGTAACTATTATAGTGAGATCTGTCAGCTTTTTATATAATCTTCCATAATGTATCTTTAACGATATATAGGAAATTATATTTACGACCTTTTTTTTGGCCACTGACGGATACACGCTTAGTGGTGATCATCTTATCTCAATTTCAGAAGCTACTCAAAGAAGTTTTGCAAACACGAGTAAAATTATGGAAATAAACATCGATCGGGACTACTTCCTATAGGACAAGTCACAAGAATTTTTAAGTAAGGGCCGCAACTCCTGCCACTATTCATAGGACACAATTGTATCACACTACACCCCTTCGCACCACTGTAAGCTTTCTTCTATTTGGGTAAGCAATTATGATAAACCATTTTCATACAAGATTTTTGTACAATGGTCACTAATCACCGGTAGTTCTAACTACTCCAATGGTTTCATGGTGTAATAATAATTATATCACGCCAAGTTTCTGACCACCAACGTTGTAAACATAATGGCAATCTGTTGAACAAGGGTAGTCGTACAGGATCTAACGAAATTAAATATCAAATGTGAGGCCGAAAGCATGCATATTTAAACTAGCAAGAAAATAATTTTATTCATACGAAGGTTACGCTGTCTATTAGCTCCGCCGGAGAACAAACACGAAGATAATTGACCGACATTAATCAAGTCGAGAACACAAAGTATACTTCGAGAATATCGAGATATGTTTATTCTGCTTCCATTTAATAAAATCAAAACACAGTTTATTTAGTCTCTGTGTGTATGAAACATAATGGTGGCCTTTCAGGGCAGAGATCCATTCTCAAAGTAGATAGTTCTCTGTGTGCTTAATGCATCTGGCCATCAGAAGTTCCATAAGAGATACATTTAGCTATATGTAATTACGGGAGTATTCGATCGTGTCAACTTTAAACAAAGTTAGCCAACGACCAGAAATCAGTAACAAATGCCCACCTTAATTTAAATGAACATATGATAAACATTGACTGAAAGGTATCATTATGTAATACTTGTTCCTCGACTTTAATTGTTTGCCGCTCGAGAGGTTTTTTTTTTAAAAAAAATGCCCAGTACAGAAAGTAAAACAGTACACCGAGAGAATATAACCGTTCTATATAGGCGTAAACCATACTGGTGGATTATTAGTCACCTATTGTATAGAATCGTGCCACTTTGAAACTCAACTATTACGTTTATATTATTAATTAAAATGAAAGTACAACCAAAACGTGTTTGCTACGTGAGAAATGATCTCAGGTAGAGGATAATTATATGCCTTACCACTACTAGGTTTACTACATCAGCCACTGCCTGTAGTTAAAAGAACGGTATTGGGTACTGATCAGATACGCCAAAACTTTTGCAATAGTAGACATAGTCAGGGCGAATTAAGACGGGAATACACCACCATACCGTGCGTCATGAGGGAAATTATAACCGGACAGCGGCATTGCAGCCTACTCTTATATCGAATTCCAACTGAACTTTCTCGGCCAACACCGGGGTCGGACACGCAACCTCCACTTCAGCGAGCCAACGTCTTACTCGCTAAGCCACCGCGTCTCCTTGCAATGTAGTAAACTTTGAAAAAGTACAATCAACAGAATTCCTAATGGTTAAAATACAACTAAAATCAACTTTTAGCTTTGCGAAATCTAAACAAAAATTTGCATCCGTTGTTCCAGAAGCTGAAACATACGCGTTACTGATTCCGAAATTTGGAATGCTGTTTCGAAATATAGAGGCTTAAGCCGATGTATACTTCAAACCTGGCAGATTTAAAAATTGAGACTGTATCAAGAGTATTTTAAATTACGGTGCCGAGATTTGGGCATACATTCGTTCGGCTAGCTACATTGAAAAATTACATTTATTCTTTTGCAAAAAATTACTTGCCGTCCGAAAAACAACTTGCAGTGTGTCCCTTTAAGGGATTACATATTTATTGTGGTCCGTTTTATTATAATATTGTATTAAAACATCGAACCAAACTATCAACAAATAAATATTGTCATGATAATAAAGATGCGCTTACCTTTCACATACATGTTGATGGCCCCCTTGTCAGCTGTTTATTAGTCGCTAACAACTAACCAAGCCTTTGATATGTTTCTCGTTACGCCCACCTCCTTTCTCTCGCTCTCTTCCAAGATTTTTACAGTTTTTCTATCTTCCAGCTTGTAAAATCAATTCAATTGGCTGTGTCGTGATTGGTTGGGTAGCAAAAGTGTGGAGGCATCTATAACAATAATCTGACGTATCTGTTGATTTAATTACCGCTGTTTTTATCACTGACTGTGGCGGGCATATTCTAGACTGTCAGTTATGTTAAGGGGGGGGGGGGGGTGAAATGATGGGATTTAACGTCCACTCGACACAAACTAGGTAATCTCGGGACTAACATATGATTCAATTTTATTTCAATGATTCGCTTGGGCGTGGGAGTCTTTAGCGGTGGGAAGAAACCGGAGGACCCGGAGAAAGCCTACGAGGTCGGTCAGACGACCCTACTCCTTGTCACGTACAGTTGACTCAATGACAGACCTTATGATACAGCGGGCACTTGCTAATCATTCGGCCATTCGCACCTCCACCCCTTTGTTAAAGGGCGTAAAGCTCTATTCTTTAGTACTTTAAAATGGACGAAAATGGGTATAAAAGCACATATTAATGTAATATAAATCTATACAAAGAGATTTATATTCAAAGTTTAATATTCTTATTGTAATTTCTAATCAGTGAAATACATGACCAGCCCAAATTTAACGATAGTCGTTTGCACCTACTTAGTCCATTCTACACGTTTTTTTAATTTTTTTTTATTGTTTTGTCGTTTTTGAATCAATCATTTTTAATTACAGCTGTTTTGTCTTTCATGATATGCATACGCCATACAGTGTACAATGAGGGAAATTTTGGGCTCAGAGCGGCGATACGTCTTACTCTTAAACCGAATTCTAACGGGATCTCAGTTTTTCGTAACATCCTAACGACTAGACAGCTGTCCTTGTCAGGCCCTCCGTCCTGCATCACTGATAATGGGAAACCACGTCGGAACTTTCTCGGCCAATGCAGGGATCGAACACGCGACCGAAATGACAGCGAGCCAGCCTCTTATCCACTTAGCCACCGTGGCTCCGTAACAGGGCTAATGAAGTCGGTCTTAGGTCATACAGTTTATTATGAGGAACATTTTGCCCATACAGCGACACTACGACCTACTCTTATTTATAATTCCAACTGTCAAGAGTTCTTTACGTGCACGCCAATCTGTACACAGTATCTCGATTTTTCGACCTACCCGAACTACTAGACACTCCTTGCCAGTCCTTCCGTCCTGCACCACTGACATGGAAAATCCAGAGGGATTTTAAAAACCGAAGTTGTGATCTGTATCAAAGGACATTTTTTGTGATCTGTTTTAGAGGATTTTTTTTTAACAAACTTTTATCATATGTCATCTGTGTTAAATAATTTTTTAAACTAACTTTTATTATATGGAAAGATCCACACGGACATTTTTATTTGTAAATACTCCACGGATACAGCTATTTGGTTTTTACGGCGAGAACTTCGCTTTTCTACATTAAACAGCGGATTGTTTTTCCCACAGGGTTTTTTCAATCCGCAGCGATGGCATCAAACAGCTGGATCTCCTATTTTAACTTGTTTTAATTATGACGAAGTGAGAAGATGACACACCCTCTCTTCCCACGACAGCGTTTTTAAAACCGTGTTTTAAAGTGATTTTTAGATATACAAGAACTTTTTATTATTTTAAATCTGTTTTAAAGTGACTTTTAGATATACAAGAACTTTTTTTTATTATTATTTAGTGTTTTTACCCATCTTCTATATTTTACTCATTCAAATGTAAACAACTTAATTAAATCAACCTGTCCATAATATCATGCATAATGTATTGGACGTTAAATTTGATATAAACAACAACAACATCAGACATTCATGATCAGATAATATTCTACAATGGCAAACGCACAACTTGAATTCAGCTTTGTACCTACAAGTCGCGGAGGACGATGTCTTTACTAGGGTGGTTATATGTACTAATTTTACCCAGTGTATTTGCGATGGACACAGAATATAGGTCTACAAGTGTAATATAGAGAGAATGAAGAAATACAGAAGGTGGTACGGAGATTTGCAGGGTTCGAGCGTGAATTTGCAACTCATCAATGAAACCACTACGACACAGAGGAGCACAGAACAAACAACACTCTGGAAGGATGGCATTCAAGGATCAAGTAGCTAGTTGGAAAAGCCCATCCGAATGTTTTTGAAATAAACACATTTTTACAACAAGAACAAAATATTAATAAGATTAGAATCGTTCAGTATGCTGGGGGACAGGAACCACCAAGGAAGATATAGAAATATGCTCAAATCCAAAGCCAGCTCCAGGAATTAAAAGGAAGACACGAGGAAGAGGAATTGACTTTAGTCGAGTATTTAGACAGGATGACTTATTTGGCGAAATTAAATTAATTTATGTTATAGTGTAGTTATGTTTTTATTTCTTATGCCAATAATGATGCTAAAATGTTGGTTAATTAGTTACACTGGGATTATGAAAGTGTAAATTCTTATCATACCATCTGTAACACAATTGTTACGTTTTTAATTCCTAGGAGCTGGATTCCCACTAAGTCGTCAGAAACGACCTCCCTTAATCCGTTACGGTTAATAACTGCGCCTTCGTGGGAATAAACCCGATCGGATTTGTGCTAACACGTGCTATTGGCTCTTCGTGTGATGGTCTCAGATTGTCAGACGGGACAGCAATCTTGCCAAAATACATATAGTGTCGTTTATACAATGAAAATCTCTCAAACCAGATAATCATCAAGAAAACATACAAATAAAACAAGATGTGGCCAAACACTTAAAGCCCAAATCTCGGGCGTTTTCGGGATTTTAAGCAGCGGGGGGTACAAGGTCCAAGTTCGGCTTGAGGTTTGTGAGATTTACCTGAGAATTTTATAAAATCAGAAGCTCCGAGACAGTATGTCTCTTCAATTAGTTGCATAACAATACTTTGTAACTTGGACGGGAAATCTTCGTTTGTTCTTTTCGTTGAATAAGCAGATTGTTTTCCCTCTAGTAGATTGAGTGGAGCTTAACCGTGCAATAACTAGACATGTTCAATGTTATTGCACACTTTTACTGTTTTACACTAGTTTTAGTAGAAATCATATAGAGAAGTGTGGTGGGTTTTCTGTGCAATAACAAGAAGCATGTTGAGCAGGCGTCAATGTTACAAGTCATTTATAGCACGCTTCATTCGTTAACATGTTTAACATTCGTTAACATGACTTATTCCGAGATACACGGTCACATACCTATAGATACATCGAATATAACATACATATTATATCTATAATAAATATTATTATTAAAGGTTATTGAGTAATACGCATGTATATATTATTAAATAACAAGATGGGTTGCGATGGGAGTTAATAACGAATAACAACTATACCTGTCTAGAACACAACGCTTCCTCTATATACAGTGCTATAGATATCAATAATGATCTATCTCTAACAGTGCATAACTTCTATAGAAGATTTACATCATAATAATCTCTAATGCAGATATTTAACTCTCTACAAGTAGAGCGAGAGAGAAATGGGATTTAACATCCACTCGACACAAACTAGGTCATTTCGGGACTAACATTTTTTATTTCAATAATTCGCTTGCGCGTAGGGGTCTTTAGCAGTGGGAGGAAACCGGAGGACCCGGAGAAAATACCACGAGGTTGGACAAGCGACCCTACTCCTTGCCACGTACAACCGAGGATTCGAAACCACGCCAGTTGACTCAATGACGGGCCTTATGATAAAGCGCGCACGTGCTAACTATTCGGCCCCCCCTCTACAAGGTCATTTCGGGACTAGCACATGGTTCGATTATATTTCAATAATTCGCTTGCGCGTAGGGTCTTTAGCAGTGTGAGAAAACCCACGAGGATGGACAGGCGATCCTACTCCTTGTCACGTACCAAGTAAACATAAAATGGTATAGGTTTTCATGCCCTTCATTAGATAAAGGAGATACTTGGTTCTTAAGAATACCCCCTTTAAATAAATTTGCTGAGAGTGGTAACAAGTGTAAGCGTAATCGTTTAATATTACGCCTCAACTTTATTCCTACATCACAAGATAGATAGCACTCTTGTCTAAACTCAAGTTTAAAATTACTGTATTCAGGAAGACTAAATTAGCTCACCAGTCTATATACTTAAGCCTTATTTTCACTGATTGTACAAATTTGGTTACATTACCAATACTTTCAGAGTAGAATATAAAACTGAAATGAAAAGAAATGGGGTTTAGCGCCCTACTGTTCTGCAACTACTTGGCTAATGAAGACGGGCATACGCCATACAGTGTGCTACGAGGGAAAGTTTGCCCGGGCAGCGGCACTGTGCCTACTCTTATGTCTAATTCCAACTGCCAAGGGATATTTTACATGCACGTCATATAGTATACACGGGGCCTCAGGTAATGGTCCCATCCGAGAGACTAGACAGCTTTCTTGTCAGGTGCTCCGTTCTGTTCCACTAACAAGGGTGAAACCATGTCGGAAAATCCCGACGAACCTCCGCGGCCAACACAGGGATCGAACACGCGACCTCCAGTCTAGCGAGCCAGCGTCTTACACACTTATCCACAATTGCTCCGAATATAAAACTAAAACCAAGTGAGAATAACATCATTTTCAAATGAGTAACCCATGTTTCCCGGTCTAAATTAAAATCTAGATTTTTTAACATTAAATACACCTGTTTTTGATAACGGTCTTTATTATATTCATATTGATTGAAGTGCACCAATATTTTATACAAGACAATATGTAATAAACACTTAGGCTATGTCGTCCGTATTCTCCTACAGCTCCTGCACTGGTGGAAGATTTATGGGTGACCTGTTTTTAAAAGGAAAGACTTAATAAAGGACAATATGTAATAAACACTTAGGCTATGTCGTCCGTATTCTCTTACAGCTCCTGCACTGGTGGAAGATTTATGGGTGACCTGTTTTTAAAAGGAAAGACTTAATAGGAATAAGAACTTTATCGGCTTTAGAAGACATTTACCCTAGTGCTACCTGGGAGAAAACAAGAGACCTAAGTAACTGTAACATG